TAAAATAAGCTTTTTGAAGAGAGAGAGAGAGTAGTAGAGGAGAGTGAATTGGTTTGGTTAAGCTAGGTCTCTATTTATAGTTGAAGTTTAGGGCTTATACATTACTGACTCAATGCTGACTCATCATATCTAAACAATATATGTTTGTTGACTCATTATATCTAAACAATTTATGTTTATTGACTCATCATATCTAAACAATATATGTTTGTTGACTCATCATATCTAAACAATATATGTTTGTTGACTCATCATATCTAAACAATTTATGTTTGTTGACTCATCATATCTAAACAATTTACTAATCAATCATTACTAATCAAACATAAATACATAAATCATCAATCAATTAATAAATCAATTAATCATAATTTATCATCTAATATATATATATATATATATATATATATATATATATATATATATCACATAAATCAAATAATATTACTATTATTATCTTACCTCTTATTATTTTAACTATTATTAACTCATTAATTAAAGATATTAAATACCAATATTATTAATTACAAAAATACTAAATATCATTATTATCCAAAAAATATTTATTATTATTATTATTTTATTAAAAGAAAATATAGGGTATTACATTCTACCCTTCTTAACGGCAAACAAGACAACATAGAATACAATAAATTTAAAGCACTGCAAATTAATGACTTGTTAACTTTAACCAAGCTAGAAAAAAAGTTTGGCGCTGAGTTAGTGGGGTTGGATACGTGTTCGATTACCGCTGAATGCATTCTTGGGGAGGGGGCTGACCTTTAGTCATTACTGTTCCCCCGCACTCCGGATTAGTCCCATAGCCGGCTCAAAGAGTCGAAGCTCGTGGGGATACCGGAGGGAGCCAACTCGTCTCAAAAAGAGATAATTAGGGTTGGGTAACTCCAAAAAAAAGCTAGAAAAAAAATTTCGAAACTGAATATCTTGTTTAAACAAATAGAAATTTTTATTACATATATTATCTTTCATTTGCTAGAAAAACTTTAATTATTTCAAGAACAACTCTAAAAGAAAGCTAATTACTTTTATTAAAATAAGAACGAGTTACAAAAGATAGCGTATATAAAAAAAAATGTCAAAATTCATTTTTTTTTTCAAACAATTATAATAATAGAAATATTCACTACCCGGATTTATTTATTTACATTATGTCCTAATCAAAATCTAATTTGGGGAATGTTTTTGTAACCGCCAAAATTCACCTGTACAATGAACAGGTGCAAGGCTAAATTTATTACATTAAAATAAAACCAAAGACTAAAATTTAAATAAAGGAAATATGTCTTATGCATTTATTTAAATCTCATAAATTTCTAAACTTAGAAACTAGCTTGAAATACTCGAGTCGTGATCCTCACTGTCCACAGCTAGCCCCATCCTTTGCAACATGCTTCACTGAAAATCTGCTCCCCCGCAGCCGCAGGATCATTGCAGTCAAACAAACACAAAAGTCAGCAAAGCTGGTAATCCTAATCAAAATACAATTAATATGAGTAATAACAAATTAAATCAAATGTCAAATAGTGTTCAAATCAATTCCACATTAATCAAATCAAATATCAATATAATAATCAAAATTCCATTATATAATATTTATCTTTATTAAGTTCATTTAATGTATTTGGTAATTATCAACTAATATATTTAGCACAACATTAGTCATAATATGATAATATTCACAACTCAATGACATTCTTCATAATCAAATCAAATAACAAATTTCATTATTAATAATGTTTAAGTTCGTTATATTTAGTGGGAAGAGAACCATGGTAGACCCGGGAAACCCTGCCAGTCTACCCTGTGACCCGGGAAACCCTGCCAGTCACAAACAAATCATATTGGCCATAATCAATTCACATCTTCCTAGTGTGCACACCTCTTCCCAAAGTTGCTACTAGTATCCCGGGAAACCCTGCCAGACACCACTTTGGAAAGAACGGATATAATCTTTTTCACATCAGTTTCACATCGGAGGCATAAAGCCCAAAAGTTGTGTTCATCACCTTGGGAGGTACCATCCCAAAGCTATCTTCCCACCATTAATTTATTACAAACACACACAATCAGGAAAGATTCAATCATAATTATTTATTCTTTAAGTATTATCATCTCTAAATGAGTTACTCAACGGCATTATAATTTTCCAAAGTATCATAATTCAAACAACTATTATCATAAATTCTCGAATTTATATAATAATTCAAATCTTCAGCATCTATCATAGTAAAATCCAAATCTGATCATCATAATAACTTTCCAATTTATTCAAGGATATGATAATTCAAATCTTCAACAGTCATCACAGTAAAATCCAAATCTGATCATTATCATAACTTTCCAATTTATTCAAGGATATGATAATTCAAATCTTCAACAGTCATCACAGTAAAATCCAAATCTGATCATCATCATAACTTTCCAATTTATTCAAGGATATAATAATTCAAATCTTCAACATTCATCATAGAAAAATCTAAATCCAATCATCGTCATTCAAATAATCCCATCACATCAATTATCATAGTTATTAATAATATAAATATTTAAATTCAATCATTAAAACACATATTTGGAAAGTTTTTCTTAAAGAGTAGTATAATTCCATAATTTTCATAATTATTCAATAAGATCCATATATTGCACATGAATTAAAAGTTTATATCATATATTGCACATAATCATAATTTCTGAAATAATAAAAAAATTTCCAAAAATATTCTAATTATCATATGTAGTAATTTAAATTTAAAAAAAAACAAATACCTATATATATAGAAATGTTCATACCAAACTATTAAGAACATCTACGGATTACATATAAGGATTATGCCCAAATTTCATATAATAGAGATAACCTAAACACCTAAGGATTCAGATTACATCCAAGTTTTATATAAAAGAAATAACCTACGAATAGGATTACATATACCGAAATTCATATCAATATAATCTATGACTCTCTAGGGATAAAGATTACTATTAATAAACTTCAAACAAAATTATAACCTAAGGATTAGGATTACACATATCAAACATATAACTACCTAAAGATTAGGATTACACATAATAAAAATTTCATACACAACGAATCTACAACCACCTAGAGATTAGGATTACCTGGTCTCCGCGCTAACTTCTAGAAGAAAAGAGTAATTTGGGGTAGAGAACCGGTTGATAAAAAAAATATAAAGATTGAAAATAATTAAAATAAGCTTTTTGAAGAGAGAGAGTAGTAGAGGAGAGTGAATTGGTTTGGTTAAGCTAGGTCTCTATTTATAGTTGAAGTTTAGGGCTTATACATTACTGACTCAATGCTGACTCATCATATCTAAACAATATATGTTTGTTGACTCATTATATCTAAACAATTTATATTTATTGACTCATCATATCTAAACAATATATGTTTGTTGACTCATCATATCTAAACAATATATGTTTGTTGACTCATCATATCTAAACAATTTATGTTTGTTGACTCATCATATCTAAACAATTTACTAATCAATCATTACTAATCAAACATAAATACATAAATCATCAATCAATTAATAAATCAATTAATCATAATTTATCATCTAATATATATATATATATATATATATATATATTATCACATAAATTAAATAATATTACTATTATTATCTTACCTCTTATTATTTTAACTATTATTAACTCATTAATTAAAGATATTAAATACCAATATTATTAATTACAAAAATACTAAATATCATTATTATCCAAAAAATATTTATTATTATTATTATTTTATTAAAAGAAAATATAGGGTATTACACAAGCTATTGCATAAACCATATTTTCCGAACACACAAAATTTTCATATTCCTTAAATTCGCAACATGGCAGCAAATTGTCTTTAAATGTATAAAGCCCAATTCCACGTGACATAGGCCTGCAGGGAACTAGATTAAGTTAACATGAAATCCCCAGGTAACATAGGTTTGAATTCATGACTTTGCTTCTTGAACTCAAAAAGAATCAAACCTGGATATTGTGGGAATGGTAATAAAAAGGAATGGATGTCATCGAATTGCTATTAATACAAGATTTTGTACCTTCTATAAATAAAACATTATCTTATATTGAAACAGCATCGCCAATTTGGATTGATGGCAGTACGAGAGATTGAGGGACCTAATTGCATTAAGTTGAAACCTGTTAAAAGCTTATATATACTGAGTAAGAGAATCCACAAGCATAAAGAACAAAACCGATTTCATACATAAAGACTAGTTCTATATAATATGTCACTAGTGACATGATTAAATTGAAGGTAAGAATCCGCAGCAACAGGACAGAACAGAACCCAAAAAAGCCATCCTATCCATGCAGTAGATAAACCACTAGAATCCTAGAGTACCAGAATTAAAGGCTTTAATCACCTTAATCAAAGATAAGATGCCAAAGATGTAAATGAAAAATATTTAATGTTGCAATGGAGCACCCAGGGCTAGTGATGAAGAACAGACATTAAAGGACTTCATCTGATAGTTGCTCAAAGAACCCGCACACAGGCATTGATTGAACTAAATGATTGTATCATAAAGAAAAGAATGAATTGGTATCAGATGAGAACCGGTGAGAGAGAAGGTTCTTTTTGTTTCAATATCTACTACTCAACAAGATATTTGAAAGGTAGAATAATAGAATAACTTCATCCAGACTAATATTATTGAAAATAGTCTCCCCACCAATGAGCCCACGTCCCAACAAGAAGTTTGTGACTGTTCTCGGAATTCATGAAACAAATTTCTAACACATACATGTCATTAGGTTGCATTTTGACTAAGACTTCATTTTTAACTTACAATTACACAGATAGCAATTTAGGAATCACATTTTGACAATAAGTATGACAAAGGTGAACAATATAAATGAAGTTTAATGAGAACAGAGCTTCCTATAATACAGGACTTTATGCTGAAAACAGAGGAATTTTAGTAATTAAACAGGTGTTTTCAAGTAAATAGGACTTCTATATCCTTTCCATATCCAATGCTCTGATAAAGCACAAGCCTATATATCACACTGTAGGCATCTCAAGTTTGAAGGTTAATTCTTTAGATGAGATACAGCAGAAAAAAAGCTCTTATATAAATAATCATCCAGTGTTCACAATGGATGCAGTTAAGTCAAATAGAAACAAAAAACTAGGGTAGCTAACTAACTATCACCACCACAAATTGTTATTTTCATATAATCTAGCGCAGCAGCTAAAAAGGATAAAATGTAAATAGCTAAGCATACCTGCTTTCACTTTCTCGTTCTTTTGATTCCCTCACCCTTTCTCTATCTATGTAATCCTTATCCCGGCTTCTTTCTCTATCTCCAAAGTCCCTGTCACGACTTGCCACTCTATCTCTGTCGCCGAGATCACTTTGATGCCTTTCGGATCTACTTCTGCTTCGCCGCAAGCGCTCTTTCTCCCTTTCCCTTTCACTCACACTCCCACGTTCCCTTCTGTCTCTTTCATGGTCGCGGTCATGATTGTGGACCAGGTCCCGGTTGCTGTCTCTCTCTCTTCCATACTTGTCCCCATTGTCTCTGTCCCTATCTCTCTTCCTATCCCTATTGCCCCCAGAGCTTCTGTGCTGATCCTTCTCCTTGTCTCCATCTCTTGACTGCGAACGATGATGACGAGATGAGCCTCTTTCTTTGTCATAATCACGAGAACCATCTGCCCATTTTGAATTCTTGGAATGGTGACGGACATCATCATCCTTATCACCAGCCTTATGCTTGGAAGGCCTATTACGGCCTCTCTCTTCAGATTTCACAGTTCTATCCCCACCATTAGCTGCTTGCTTCTCTTTCTCAAGTTCAGGATTTTCAACTGTTTTCTCTAAATACTCATATTCATCAAAATCCATCACAAATCTGTTGAACTCCAACAACGTACTTTAGAAAAACTAGTTTTGGCCAATATCTGCAAAATTTAGTTAAAAAATGCATGACCAAAAGGTCTTGTTTTAGGATAGCAGAAGAAATATTACTAAAGAGGGAAAAGGATAAGATATAATCCTAAACAAACAAACAAAAAAATCATATAAAAACAGCAGAAGCTGAATATGCAATTTTCTAAACGAATGACATAGATAAAATCATATTTGCCTATCTTACAAGAATGGACCAGTTGCTTATGAGTACCAATATGGTGAAGCATTAATTGTATGAAAAAATTGGGGTGATATTGCAATACATAACACAACGGAAACCTAGAAGGAAAAAGTGAATGACAGTAAAATAATAAATCACCTTCTTCGTCGAAGAGAAATCAATTAAGAATCCCTTGCAAGTTGAAACAAACAAAAGAGGCGTTAGGGTTTGTGTGCGTTGAATATAGAAAATGAATTTCAACAGAGAACGTTGAGGTTAAAAGGCAGCAGAGCAAACAAGAACTGTCATTTGTAGGCCAAACTCAAAATCTTCCATCATTCTTCAAATCAAAATCAAAATCAAAACGGAGAAGTGGCGTGCAGATGTGGCGTCTTATACTGATATTATTTGCTACTTATTAAGTAATTTTTATTTATTTATTTTTTTGGTAACACTGATTAAGTAATTTTAATTTCGTCTGATATGTGTATTTCAGCCGTCAAAGAATGGGCTTTTTGAAACTTACCTATTGGACCATGAATTCAAAAGAATTGATATAAGATTTATTTGCATAAGCCAGGTCTTATTTTCTGCTTCTTTTCCTTTCATAGGTCAAAATCAAATAGGTTTTTACAAAGGAAAAACATCTATCTTTTTTTTTTTGGGTAAAAAAACATCTATCTTTTTAAAGGATATAACTTTATATTATTTTAAATTCTAACCGTTGATTTTCGTTCATCAACGGTTATAATCTATTGGGTCAAATTTAATGGGACAAAATTATTATTAATTAATAATTTTGATCTAATAAATTATAACCATTGATGGACAGAAGAAATCAACGGTTAGGATCTAAAATGATATAAATTTCTATCCTTTAAAATGACAGATGATACTCTCCTATAATAAAAGAGTTTTTTCTTATAGTGAAGAAAAAATCGAAAGAGAAAACATTCTAGTAAGAGCTTTTTAAACTTGTATCAATTTTTTTTGAAATATGTGTTTTGTTTAAACAAATAGCTTTTAAATAATTCTTAAAATTTTAAGTTAAATATTTTATATAATCATTAAGTAACTTATAGTTTTATTTTTAGGGGTAGGACATTGTAACAAATAATTAGTGCTACTACCAATCAATTTTACTGTTAGATCGATTATATTGATTTAACGGTTATATTTATTTTCATCTTTGTATGGTTATGATTCCTCATATTTAATACTTTATATTTATTTTCACCTTTGTATGGTTATGATTTTTTATATTTAATGTTTTTACATGAAATATGGAGAATCATAATCATACAAAGATGGAAATAAATATAACTGTTGAATCAACATAATATATCTAACGGTGAAATTGATTGCTAATAACATTGGTAACCCTAAATGATTATTACAATATCATTTCCCTTATTTTTTAATTTTTTTTTACCTTTAGTTTAAAAATAACTTTTAGTTTAAATAAAAGAGATTTCAAACAAGCTCTCAGGCCACTCATCTCTCACTTTATGGGAAGGAAAATAAAAATTCAGTATAATAGACAGAGAAAATTATTGATTTTTCGTATTTGATAGGCCATTAACAAAGGAAATTATCCCTATCTATGCTTTCCATCTTTATCCCAACAATTCCCTTTTTATGCATCCGGCTTTGTAATAGAATGAAACAAAACGAGTAAGAAAGAAAAAAATGAAACATAATTTTTCCTTTACGTGGAAGATTGATTGATTGGTAAATGATCGAAACGAAATTCTATACTTTTGAGTTTTCCTCTTTTCACCCCAATTTCTAAAAGAACAAAAATTAAAGCTTTGAGCGGAATTTAAAATAATAATAATAATGATAATAATAAATCCACTTGAATGTCTTTTCCCTTTTACCTATCGCTCAAACAGTATTAGATTAAAAAAAGAAACAAGCTTCTCTTAAAAGCCATAATAAGGTGGCATGCAAAAGCAATAATCAAATTCGCTAACCATAATAATATGTGATTACTATCCCATACAAAGTTGACATTATTGCTAAAATCTGAGTTGGGAAATCAAAGAGCACTAGAACCAGATCGTGCTCAGGGAGAAGAAAAACAGATACATCGTGCATCAAAACTAGGAACATTAGATGATGCAAAACCCATCAAAACTCAGCTAACTAAATAAGCCTGTGGGGTGAAGGGTTTCAATCACCCATTGCTTCATCCTTGTTTCTAAAGAGGATAGTGTCTCTCATTGGACCACATTTGTCCTTGTAATATAGTTGGCATTTGACTTTGATACAAACCTCCTATATATTGTATGCATGAGTTTCCAACATCCCTTCTCTACTGAGAGTTGCCTTCTCTGTTCCTATGCATCCCTGCTTGTGTCTCGGGTCCTTTGGGGACACTAAAAATGCCATAACCAGGTCTTGAAGTATTGGGAGCACTAGGATGTGATAGGCCATGCTTGGGGATATCCTCATGGGAAGAAGGCATTGCGTTTCTTGATCCAGGAGTAATAGATTGCTTGGTATTTTCTATTCTGGGATTAACATTAGTATCTACTGGAACATGCCTCATCTGATTTAAATTTGAGGGTATAGACCGGGGTGCATCTCTTATTCCTGGACCATTGTTATTGCCATAGGGGCCTGTATTATTTAATGTGGTTTGTTGGAATCTGTTTCTTGGCTCTGCTCTTTTGTACCTATTCTCAGCTACAGCAGGAGACATTTGTGCATTATATGGAACCTTGTTCTCACCCGGATGATCAGCTCGTCTATACCTATTTTCGGACACGGTTCGAGACACTGAGGGAGAAATATGCTTGTCACCATCAAAAGGCACCTCCTCCTCAGTTTCAAAACCAGATTCAGCAGAACTATGATTCTCATATTCCATAGAGTCACTAGAATTGGCTGTTAATGGTTCCATATTACCCTCCTGACCCTTAACAGCCGTGTCTGCTGCATTTTCGGATTTTTTCCCGCCTTTCTTAAATGCCCCAAATCTAACATGTCTGACTATCATATATGCATATGTGTCTTTTTTTGCCATAGTTGGTCCACTTTCCACTACACCGACATCTTCTATCTGCAAAGAAGATTTTGAATGTAGAATGAAAGGATATAAAGAAATAGGGAGAAAAGATAAAATAAAAAAATCTTGTAAAAAATAGTTCAGACAGAAAATCCCAGAATGAAACAGGAATCGTACCAGAGCAAACAGACGATCTAATAAACCTGTTGTGTCCTGATTTTCATTGCCTGTTGCCCTGCACTGTTTTTAATAGAGGAAAAAGCAATCACAATTCTGACATATCATCAACAAACAATACATATGCTCAAAGCTTTGTATTATTTACTATGGATGAATGTGGTACATGTTGATAAAAGGTATATGCCTTAAAGTCCTGGTGACTTAGAAGTTACTTAAAGACCTTGATAAAGTTCAGTTAAAAACAACTAGATTCCACCATATTATTTTTTGTTAAAAAATCTTATGTAATGGAACTGGATGTTCATTACAACCAATAATTTATCTGCATCCAATGTTTGTGTGCAGATATTAATTCATTGATTAAATGATCCATTACGAATGAAATATAGATGATACACTGTGATGCAAAGATGCATAATGTGCAGGATTATTTTCAGAGACAGAGATAGTGAGGAGGCCATTGGGAAGGGAAAATATAATGCAGATAGAGATACCTTAACCCGATAACCCTTCTCCATTAACTTTTTAACCATATCTGCTTTCGTCTTCAGGTCTTTTAATTCCTAAAAACATCAACAGTAGAAATTTCAATATATCAAATTCTCCTTTTCCTGGTTCAGCCTTTCAGGAAATAAAATATGACAAACTCAAAACACAGAAACCTTAAAACCAATAGTTGACCCCCAAAATAATAAAACATGTAGGGGATATAGAAAAATAAAAGAATGAATACAGAGAAAGAAAACTTACAGTTTTTTCAGAAAATCGCACTTCCTTGCATTCATTTCGCAATGTCATCTTAGACTGCATTTGTCAGAAAGCTGATTAAGAACAATGCTACATCTAAAGATTAAAGATTTGTCTTTGACAACTCAGTAAACATGCCATAACAGCAGAATGATTGTAAAAAAAAAAAAACCACTACCCGTTAAACCCAACTAGCGAGTGTGGGGTGGAGGCAATCCTATACGCAGCTTTTCCCTCACATAATTGCAAAGAGGTTGTTTCCTGGATTCGAACCCATGACCTTTCAGTCATGAAAGAATAGCTTTACCACTGCTTCGGTTCGCCCTTTTTTTAGGGGCAGAATGATTATAAGTAGTTAAAATGTAAAGCACTGTGGAACATTTTTTAATTTATATTTGCCAAAGAAAGCAGGGGATGAGAATAACGGGAGAGCACAAACTTTCCAAGTATACACAATATTGGGTTTTGTTGTAGTTTCAATGCTGAAAATGCAAAGCTTCACTTCCTCGTTCCTAGCCATTTGATTGAGCATGCTAATACTTTAAAAAGTTTCATTTTTAAACCATCTTTGCTATAAGAAAGCTTACTGCATTATAATTTGTAGAATATTCTAGATAGTATTTATTGATGTAGTTGGTAGTTGTATATTTAGTTGGTAGTTGTATATTTATTGATGTAGTTGGAGGTTGCATATTTATTAAAGTAGTTGAGGTAGTTGGATGTACTCAATATAAAAAGGACCCATTGGGTCTCTCAATGAATCAAGAAAGTATTATTCAGATAAAACACTTCTTCCACTTCTTCTTTTCTTCATGGTATCAAGAGCTGGTTATATTCCAGTCTCTTCCCCGTTCTGATTTATTTTTAAGTCATTTTCCTATTCCTTTTTTTTCGTTTTAGCCACTACCCAAGCCAGAATCCTTACCTAGACATCTCCAACCACGAAACCAAGGCCACCATTAGGTTCAGAACAAAATTCCGAGCCAACCCACAGAAGACCCGTGGCAGTACTGTTCATCACTGTAGCAATTACTGTTTCACTGTGGCCAACCCTCTTCTTGTTTTGAGGGTCAAAATGGTATTTGGAGGAACTTTTTTCTGGGTACCTGTTAGAAAGCCATGGATGCTGGAAATTCTGAAATTTCGTCTGGAACCTAACCCCTTCCCAACTCTTCGTCTTCTGGAGACAACCCAGCAATGCAGATCACCAGTCACCATTTAAACGGTAGGAACTATGTGCAATGGTGTCAATCTGTTAAGTTGTTTATCCAGGCTAAAGGGAAGATGGGGTATCTCGACGGAAAAAAGGTAAAACCAGCAGAACGTGAACCTGGTTATGATGTTTGGGTGGCTGAAAATGCTTTAGTCATGACATGGCTGACTAATTCTATGGAACCAGATATCAATCAAACTTATTTATTTCTTGATACAGCTCACGAGATTTGGGAAGCTGTTAAAGAATATTACTCCGACCTGGGCAATGCATCTCAGGGTTTTGATCTCAACACCAAGGTGAAAGAATTACGCCAAGGAGAGATGACTGTTACTGAATACTTCCTTGCTCTAAAAATACTATGGCAAGAGTTAGATCTTTATGATAAAGCAGACCTTCAAGGTTTAGAAGCTAATGCAAGGTTCAAAAATTATATAGAGAAAAGGCGTCTCTATGATTTTCTTGCTGGCCTTAATTCTGATCTGGATGATGTTCGTGGAAGAATTTTGGGACAAAACCCATTACCTTCCCTTGCTACTGCTTTTTCGGAAGTACGAAGGGAGGAGCTTTGCCGAAAGGTAATGTTGGGTGATAAGGACTCTAAGTCCTCTGATGGGTCTGCCCTTATAGTAAAGAATAATGTTCGTCTTTCTGGGGACTCAAAACGTTCTGATCGTTGGTGTTCTCATTGCAATAAGGGTGGTCACACCCGTGAAAAATGTTGGGAAATTCATGGAAAACCACCAAACTGGAAACCAAAAGGACAGAACAAGAATCGTGCTAATCAAGTATCTTCCGAAGATAAAGGGAAGGTGTCTCATGTCCCTTCAAACCTTGATGGTGTTTTCCTCTCCAAGGCCCAGTTTGAGCAATTTCAGAAACTGATATCTCAACCTGCCGAGGCAACTAGTCATGTTGCTCAAAAAGGTATGGCATTCCATGTTGAACGTAGTAATCGTTGGATCCTTGATTCAGGGGCCTCTAATCACATGACAGGTAATGCAACCTTATTTTTCTCCTATACCCCTTACTATCACCCGTCACGAATAAGAACAGCTGATGGGAATTTCTCCACTATTGCGGGGAAGGGATCCATTAAACTTTCTGAGCATATTATTTTGAATTCAGTCCTTCATGTTCCCTCTCTTACCTGTAACCTCATCTCAATTAGCAAACTTACTGCTGAGTTGCATTGTGTTGCTAAGTTCTCTGCAAATGCTTGTACCTTTCAGGAACAAGACTCTGGGACGATGATTGGCAGTGCTAGAGAGGAAGAAGGGCTCTACTATTTTAAAGAGGATCCTTGTGAAAGGAGGATTTTTTCAAACCACTCTTTATGTTTATCAGATGATTGTAATGATGTTTTGTTATGGCATCGTAGGTTAGGACACCCAAATTTTGTCTATCTTCAGAAGTTATTCCCGAACTTGTTCATCAATAAAAAGCCAAGTTCTCTTCTTTGTGATATTTGTCAGCTTGCAAAGCATTCTCGTGCCACTTATTCTCCTAAAAAATATCATGAATCTTCTCCCTTTACATTGATTCATAGTGATATTTGAGGACCTGCTCGTGAAAAAAATGTCTCGGGTGCTCGTTGGTTTATTACTTTCATTGATGATCATTCTAGGGTATGTTAGGTATACCTCTTGAAAGATAAGTCTGATGCGGCATCCACCTTTAAAAATTTTCATGCTATGATTCAAACTCAATTCCAGACCTCTATCAAAATTCTGCGAACAGACAATGGTACTGAATATTTTAATTCTGTTCTTGGAGATTACCTAAACCAGCATGGAATTATTCATCAAAGTTCTTGTCCTAACACCCCTCAACAAAATGGGGTGGCTGAAAGAAAAAATAGACATCTAATTGAAGTTGCTCGAGCTCTTTTATTCACGATGCATGTCCCTAAATATCTGTGGGGGGAAGCCGTCTTGACAGCCTCTTATCTCATTAACCGGATGTCTTCTCGGGTACTAAATTTTCATTCTCCTTTATCTTGTCTTACTAAATTTTTTCCCTCTTTCAGTGTTGTTTCCTCTCTTCCTCCCAGAATATTTGGCTGTGTGGTTTTGTGCATATTCCTCCACATCACAGGTCCAAACTTGACCCTAAATCTGTTAGATGTGTCTTCATAGGATATTTCCCTAATCAAAAAGGTTATAAGTGTTACTCACCTTCTCTCCGTAAGGTTTTTGTTTCCATGGATGTTACCTTTTATGAGACACAATCCTTTTTTTCCCCGACTTCTCTTCAGGGGGAGTCTATTGGTATTGGTATGGATGAAGATAAGCCTGGGAAACCAAATGATGCTGTTGTCTTACCTTGGCCTTTGGAAACAGGGGGAGTTATTGGGAAGGAAACAGGGGGAGCAACTATACCTGAATCTAATGATCCTCCTTGTGATCCTCCTGGTAAATGGGGAAAATTTTACAGCAGGCGCAAAACACATGAAGATACTCTAAACTGCCAGGATCCTGATTCGAGTCCTTGTTCCAGCAACCCACTTGAATGTACTAGTACAGCCAACATTGATATGCCTATTGCTCTTCGGAAAGGTACTAGATCTTGCACTGCTCATCCTATTTCCCATTATATCTCATATGAAAAGTTGTCTCCAGGTTTTCGTGCTTTCAACACTTTTAGATAGTACCAAGATACCCAAAAATATCCAAGAAGCACTTGATGACCCAAAATGGAGGAATGTTGTATTAGAAGAAATGGATGCACTTACAAAAAATGGAACATGGGAGTTTGTGACATTACCTAAAGGAAAGAAAACTGTTGGTTGCAAGTGGGTGTTCACAATAAAATTCAATGCAGACAATAGCATCAATAGGTATAAGGCCAGATTAGTTGCTAAGGGTTTTACTCAGACTCATGGGATAGATTATCAGGAGACATTTGCTCCTGTTGCCAAACTTAACACTATCCGCGTTCTGCTATCTCTTGCCTCCAACCTTGATTGGCCATTGCAACAGTTAGATGTTAAGAATGCCTTCTTGAATGGTGATCTACATGAGGAAGTTTACATGGATCCACCTCCTGGTTTTGAAAAAGGGGATGGTTCTGTGTGCAAGTTGTAGAAGTCTCTCTATGGACTTAAACAATCTCCCAGAGAATGGTTTGGGAAATTTACTCAAGCTATTAAGGGAAGAGGGTTCACCCAAGCTCAGACTGATCACACCTTATTTTTTAAACACTCCGACAAAGGAAGAATTGCTATTCTGATCGTTTATGTTGATGACATAATTATCACTGGTAATGATAGCGAGGAGATAACCTCTTTAAAAAAATGTTTAGCTGACCAGTTTGAACTAAAAGATCTTGGATCTCTCAAATATTTCCTTGGCATGGAAATTGCTCGGCGTAAGGAAGGAATTTCTTTAACTCATAAAAAATACATTCTAGACCTGTTGCAAGAAACAGGTATGCTTGGGTGCAAGCCGGCAGAGACTCCAATTGAAGCTAATATCAAGATGGGTGTTGAGGACGGGGAAGATGTTGATAGGGAGCAGTACCAAAGACTAGTGGGGAAATTAATCTATTTGTCTCACACTCGTCCTGATATTGCTTTTGTTGTGAGCATGGTTAGCCAATTCATGCATTCTCCTAAGGAAAAACACCTTAGTGTTGTTTATAGAATTCTCAAATACCTCAAAAATACCCCTGGTCGAGGAATTTTCTTTAAAAAGGGGCACAAAAGGATGATTGAAATCTATACAGATGCAGACTGGGCTGGCTCTGCAATGGACCGAAGATCTACTTCAGGATATTGTACTTATGTCTGGGGAAACCTTGTGACCTGGAGAAGTAAGAAACAAACTGTTGTTGCAAGAAGCAGTGCAGAAGCAGAATTTCGGGCTCTAGCCCATGGTATTTGTGAAGGAATTTGGTTACGAAGGCTTCTGGAGGAGTTGAAGATCTCCTATTCCCTACCTATCAGATTATATTGTGATAATAAGGCTGCCGTCAGCATTGCTCAAAATCTTGTTCATCATGACAGAACAAAACATGTGGAAGTTGATCGTCACTTTATCAAAGAGAAGTTAGAAGACGGTAGTGTATGCTTGACATATATATACCTACCAAGGAACAGACGGCAGATATCCTCACCAAAGGATTACTTAAGCCGACCTTTGAGAATTTGATCAGCAAGTTTGGAATGATCAATATATATCTCCCAACTTGAGGGGGAGTGTAGAATATGTAGAATATTCTAGATAGTATTTATTGATGTAGTTGGTAGTTGTATATTTATTGATGTAGTTGGAGGTTGCATATTTATTAAAGTAGTTGAGGTAGTTGGATGTACTCAATATAAAAAGGACCCATTGGGTCTCTCAATGAATCAAGAAAGTATTATTCAGATAAAACACTTCTTCCACTTCTTCTTTTCTTCATAATTATTCTTTAAAATAATGAGAAAAGAGAATGAACATATTCATTTTTTGTTCTATGCCAGAGCATTTTTCTGGTCTTTTTTTTTTTTTGCTAGATACCAACCGGTATCCGCAGCCCTAATGAGCCCGACTAATCCGGTTTCAGTTTCAGGTTTCTGGTCTTTTTTTAGAATAAGTCTCTCAAGGATTGAAATTTGAGTTAAATGTTCTGAGATCTGGTCCGTATGCTGCTAGGCATAGGAGCAGCAATCTGATTCTTTTAGCCAGTCATATTATACAATGCACCAGACTCACCAAAGTTTGGTGACCAAACAGAATCAAATTCTTTCAAAGTTAGCAGGCACATCATAGCTTACTCCACTGGAAGCATCCAACTGTCCCCAGTGAAACCCAATCTTAGTAAGTCAGTCTTGACTTAAAATGATGAAAAATAAGTATGTACTTGTAAAATATGTGATTTAGGATACAATATGGCTCGTGTATTCTAATAGGCAAAAGGCATGTGTTGTACCAGTGATATGCAAATAAAGATTCATATGTTTGAATATATCACTTAAAATGACCAGGAGAAAAACTCTTATCAATGATTTCAACCGATAGCAATTAAAGAAACTTCACAAGCAACTTGGAAACGGTAACTAATTCATAGCATACTGCACCTTGCTTTTAGCACGCTCCTTTTCCTTCATTCGTCGCTGGTACATTTCCTTGTCATAGTCCATAATTTTACAAACGGGTGGATTAGAAGTACTCTGAACCTGTAACGTGACCAGTACTCATATAATAAATGTCACAAGATATGGGAAGCATCCTCATGTGTTTACGCTAACCTTCTTCATTCATATTCCTAAGCAAATTTTAATGCTTCAGAGTTTGACAGATATGATGCATGTGAATATTGGTGATCACCAGTCACAAAATGTCCCAAATATTAGGGATGTGTTGGTGGTGACGAAAATGATCACTACATAAAGATAGACACACACTCTTCCCCCCAACTTAAGGTTAGAACTTTGAAGGATTGAAGTCCAGACCTATCATAACAGAATGACTTTAAAATCCCAGGAATGCAGAAAAAAACAATAAATCCTTCGGTAAATGATGAATTCATTTGAAATCATGCAACCTACTTCAACTCAGCATCTCTCCCTTGCAGGTAATCTCTTTAAAAAAAGAAAAAACTCAGCGATCATGGAAAAAGACTTGAGAAATTTTATTTACCTCAACTAAATCAAGTTTAAGCTTCCTGGCACGTTCCAATGCTTCGAACCTTGACAATATTGTATGCCCTGCACGAAATCATACATTTAATGGGAAATTAAAGGCTGACGCTAAATTTTGCTGCGCATTTATACAGTAAATATCACACAAAACTGATCTTCCAAGTCCTCGTAGTAAATATTAATTAATATAGTTTGAAGCGGTGCATCTCCATCCTCCATAGTTCCATGGGCGTCTACCCGTTATTATGTGTTTATCTGGTCATGTAACTATAAGTTGCCTAGGCCTAAGCAAGGCTCCAGGTTATATTGCAGTTGATCTTAGTTACAATAGTGTGATGGCAAGCAGGAGAAAACAACTATCTGATCATGATAAGCAAGTGCAGAATGAGTATTACAAAAAAAAGCCTGGTAGCTATAAATTCTAGTAATTTTCCATAATAGCATTCCACAGTTTAAGCACCTAAGGGTTAAAATGTGTAATAGGTTTACCATCATCCGTCACAAGCCTGACATATTGAGCTTTGATTTTGTCATTCAACCGTGGCCCATTGGTGAGGTCCTCTTCCTTCTTGGGCTTTACCTGAAACTGAAATCCCACAAAGCAACAGCAACTGACATCATCAGATTCAAGGAGTACCAATTCAACCATCAATGTCAAACCAATAACAATTTAATTCCAGAATAAACAACAAAAGGGATCCATTACTCATCACATTTCAAAAATCACTAAGGAACCCATGTCCAATTAGACAGCAAAGGCAACAACTTTGATAGTCTAAACCACAAAAAGTTAGAAAAATTACTTGAACGGGAGCAGCAAAAAACCTCACGCTATTGCAAACACTTGTGGGCATTCCATGAAAAACCGAATTCGGATGTGGCACCTCCATGTGGCGAGGTTTAGGGGTGGAATTCAAGGAAGATGCATTCGGAATGTGAATGTAACATCTACGGAATTGGGTGCATGCGAGTTGCAGCTTAGATTTTCCGATTCGGTGCCAAATCGCCATTTCCTCAACGAACCAAACGGTTAGATTAACTGTAACTAATGTGAGTGTTTGTTTGGCAGAAAGAGAAAAGGTTGAGTTTCAAAGGCAACCTCAACTGTTGTGTTATGCGGATGCAATGGTTGTGTTGTGTTTCCAGCAGCGAACCTTTCACCTTTGACAACGGACATGGGCCTTTCGAATCAAAGATTCGGCCTGTTATCAAGATTGAAACTTAATATTCCAGATTTATATTTGATACCCAATATTATTATTGATTTTTTATATTGTTTCTTAATTTTTTTATTTTTTTTTGGTATTATGCTTTTTTTCTTTTTGTTTTCTACTACATATTATCCATAAGGGGCTTTGTATCTCTGAGCGATGGTAAAATTTTGTCTTCTGGGATCCACTATTTTAAAAAAAAAAAAAAAATATTGAAAAAAATTGCTGGATCTATCAAATGAGAAAAACACTTCTGTAATAATAGCATAAGTTTTTTTCCCATACATAAAATGTTATACTAATTAAACGACTCTAGAAAGTAGATAGATATTTGATTGGCTTTATTTTCTATAAAATCACGATGGTGAGACTATGCCATCAATTTTTGAAACTTTTGATTACTTATTACTAGTCAGTATTTCATATAATAATATACAGGTGTTTTGAATTTAAATAAAACAGAAAAGTATAAATTAAATATAAGAATATTCAAGAAAAATTGTATAAAATTATCAAAGAGATATGTGTAATTGATTCAAACCATAAATTTAAAAAAATAAAATATAAAAATATATGCATAACTGATTTGAAAAAAATAAGTTTGAAATTTAAAATGTTAGAATTCAAATATGACATGTCATTCATAGTAGATTAGAACATTAAATTACTCTTAAGAAAAGATACTCTAATTTAATATATAATATAAATTATTCTTAAATATATTAAATAAATCTTAATTAATTTACTACTAGTTAATTATTAGCTCTTAACATATTTGATGCATGTACACTTTTCATCGATTAAAAGTGTCTTTGGGTTGTATTATTTTAAGAAAATAATTACTTTATTTTGACAACTTTATTTTTAGAAAAAAAACATATTTTCATAAAGGTTGAGCACTATAAAAAAAATTAAGCTATCATAGATTTAGAGTTAGGTATGTATCCCTTAAAAGATAAAGTATCTCACTTAATAGGTACTTAACGAGTAGGGTATGTACCAAGACTCAAGGTGGAGTCATCGCGTATGCTATCTCAAATATAATTTAGAGATGACGACAGAATGTGTATGTGCACGATGACTATAGAATTTGACAAAATAATGGACGTAAAATGACTCTTCAAGTGGAGAAATAAATATATATAAGTGAAAAATATTCTCTCATGGCAAGTGGAAGGAGCCGTAATCATTTGCTCAATACCTCGGTGTATGTATGAATAAGGATGAGCATCACTATGAATATTGTAGTGAATTATGTAGGAGAGAGTAAATGATACTTTGAAGTGAGGTCAATTTACTCACTATGGAAAAATAGGGATATGATTCCTTAATGAACTTTTACAGGTCAATCCACATGTATTTGGATTGTAAAGACCGGTTCAGGACATAATTAATATCACATTTTATTAGAATATTTTTCTTTAACCTTCAAATGTGATCCCATATGAGTATATGACCCTTTAATATTATGCCATTCGAATAAACAAAAACAATCATTTGACTCGTACTTAGATGTTTTGGATTGTTTTGGGCGACGGAAGGAGTAAAAAAAACAAACAAGCCATAAAGATGAAGGTCTGAATTGAATACTACGAGAGAGCGGATGGAGGTAATTGGATTTGGAATTTGGCACATGTCAAAATGCTATGAAAGAAAGTTAGTTCATGTGACTTGTCTTTAATATACTCATGTCACGTGACATTTCAACCAATTTTTATTTTAACGTAAGATAATATGGTATGACTCTTTTTAAATAGTCATATAAATAATTAAAAAAATTAATAACAACAACATAGCAAAATAGGTGGAACCACATCAACATACATCTTTCTTTACTTGATAGCCACTTGGTTATGTGGTAATATCTGGGACATTGACCATATTGCCACTCCTTTAATAAAAATTTACCTGATTGCCACTTCTGAAAAAAAAATTGCCAAAATGCCACGCCTGAATCCCGCTGGTCTGACAAGCGGGAATGGACTGGACACGTGTCAGCGTCTGAATGGTGAACCATTATTGCTGGGCTGCCCAGCTAGAATGACAGAATGCTGACACGTGGCAAAAGCACAGGCATTCTCTGGATGTCTGTACTTTTGCCACGTGTCAGCATTCTGTCATTCTAGCTGAGCAGCCCAGCGAGAATGGTTGACCATTCAGACGCTGACACGTGTCCAGTTCATTCCCGCTTGTCAGACCAGCGGGATTCAGGCGTGACATTTTGGCAAAAAAAAATTCAGAAGTGGCAATCAGGTAAAATTTTGCCTAAAAAGTGGCAGTATGGTCATTGTCCCGGTAATATCCTTCCCAAACTGATAAAATATAAAAAAAAAAAGTAACCCTACCTCGAAAAATAGTTTGTAAAAATGCACTATTATAGTCAAAATCTTGGGTTATAGTGTTGCCCGATGATGAAAAGTGAAAAGAACAAAACGCCAAACAGTGACAGAAAAAAAAAAATTTATTCAACGAGTCAACCATCCTATTTGACCTACCTTATCATGACATGTTTCACTATTACTGAAATATTACAGAGTTAATCCGACAAATCAAATTTCAAATTGGGTTAATCCAACAAATTAAATTTCAAATTGGGTTAATCCAACGGGCTGAGCCCGTTTAGAATTTAGGATTTGAAAATCAAGTTAGGGAGTTATATTGGATTGAGATTTCAAATAATTTTAATTGATTATTGTTGAACGAAAAAATTAATTTGTATTCAATTAGGATTTTAAAATATTGATAAAAAGTCACGTGTTATTCGATTAGAATTTTAAAAAATTATTTTAGAATCCATTTAAATTCGTTGATATTCAATCAGGATTTTAAACAAAGGAAAAACAATCTTGTGGTATTCAAAATATGATAATTTTAAAGGATTTTCAATTAGTGAGACTTTTTTAGTGAGAAATATAATTAGGATGTCTCTCTCACAATCTCATTCTAACCCTTAGAATTTCTTGAGATTTCTCTGTTGCATAGAATCTATTCTAGCCATTTCTCAAAGCCAATGTATGTTATTTTTTGACTCTCGTATATTTTCTCAGATTTTGGTATTCCTCCTTCATGATTAATGGTTGTGTTTGTCATCTGTATTTATCACACTACAAAAATTCAGGTGTTTTGTGGAGGTCATATTTTCATATTGTGGAGGTCTTTGACCCCCACAAAAGACATTTGTGGCATTCATCCAACCCCCAGTTCTGCCCTCGCCACAACATAGTTTGTGGGGGTTTTGTGTGCAGTGCCACAATTTGTTAAAGTATTTTCTGGAGGTTCAAGACCCCCACAAATATTGCACTTTTTGGAGATTTAAGACCCCCACAAATGTTGTATTATTTATGGAGATTTAGTAACCTCCCTAATATGTTTGACTTTCTGTGACTCATAGACCCCCACAACATTTATCACTTCTTGGAGGGCATAGACCTCTACAATATTTTTATAATATTTAAAAAAATAAAAAATGAGCTTACGAGAAATGATTTTATTTGAATAAAAGACATCCATTTCAAGTATAAATTTATTTGTTATTTGAAAAAAAATTGTACTTTAAATCTTGTAGGTTCCCATTCAAAAGGTTACAAAGCACTACAGATGTTGTAGTTGAACGTTTAAATATTAAGCTTTAAAACTGCGTCACGATATTGTTTTTAGCGAACATCTATTTTGGTAGCTGTAAACTCACACAAGTGAATATTTAGAAAGCTGTACAAAGTAACTAGTTCCCAGCCACCAACTAAACAACAAACCCCAACAAAGGAAAAAGCACCCCTACAGGAGGCTGCGTCTCATTAACAACTCATCAACCATGACATGGTTGAAGCAACAAAATTGGTTTTATGGAGAATGGCTATCATCCAGCAATTGAAACAGATATGATGAAACCTGCACAATGAAAGAGTAAAAATCAATTACTAAAATTACAAATCAAAATAACGGTAAAAAAGAATTTAAGAATTGTTTTAAGAACTTGATTAACATTCACTGCCACAGAGCATTGTCAGTCTTATAATTGCTACATGCAAATATGCAACTACAATAGTAAATAATTAGAATTTAAGAAAATAATTTGTAAAATACCTTTGGCATTTCAAAAGCTATAATCTCAATTTCCCATTGAATATGAGTACCCTCAGGGATATTTCATCACAAGCTATAAGCTCAAATTCAAAGTATTTTTAATTTGACCGCATGGTCATGCTTCTCATGCCTCAGGCCGAGTATATTAATACCTCTGAAATTGGAAACAAGCAAGACAGACAATTGGTACATTGCCTGAAAAATTCAAATTATTATTGATGATTGAGTTAGAGACAAAAGAAAAGGTATAGCATTCTTAGCAGGAATGGTGAAGCAAGATACTGTATTTTCTAAATCCTTTAGTTGGTCGTTCCTGGGTAAGCCAAATAATAAACAAATCCCTGCCGACTAGAATGACAATAGGGGTCCTCAAGGTAGGATAAATTTTTAGCTCTCCTATATACTACACATATTTAAATTGTAATACTACACATGAATTTATGTCGCATGAAAACATAAGTAAAAAAATAAATATCTAATAAAGCATGATAATAAATTCATAACAAGCTCTAAATTCAAAGTTCATAATCAAAGTAGATGTGCAGCAGCCCTAAAAATCAAATTCCTTAATGAAAAGAGGTAAAATCCTAGATTACACAATACTGAACAAAGCACGAATAGTGAATGAAAACAGAGCATGCACAAGTAAACAGAAAACAAGAAACTGATACAGGAACCATGCAAATAAAGCAGGTAATAAGAATAGAACAGTAATTGAAGAAACACGTTTAGTGATACAAAGTATAGAATGTGGAAAAAAAGAAAGTTGAAAAAAGTCCCCTCAAGGCATGAGTTCACTATAGGAGCTATGCCTCATCTAGCAAGAGGTGTTAGGCCATTAGCCCCTTCCCTCGCCTCGCCTTGCCTTAGCTCCTTAGGTATGCCTCTTGGCATGTTTAACTACACTATTTTTAGACTCTTTTCATATAAAAGAATAGAATTCAGTTTTCCATTATGAGAGTTCATTTATAAGTGGCAAAATCTTAATTAAAACCTACCAATACTTATTATGTGCTAAGAGTTGGTTAAAATATGCAGCAAGTACTAGAGATCCCCTTATAATATTAGGCATAAAGTTTGCCTGTAATAACATGTCCTTGTTTGATGGACCATCAACAGTCTTCTGAGTAGCTGATTCATCACAAAAAGTAGATAATGAATACAATGTTAATTTGAAAAATGATAAGAGATCGATTCAATATAATATAGCTAAACCATGAACCTGTGATGGCGCGAACAGTGGTCATGACAATTCCAAATCGGTCATTGATAACATGTGAAAAATAAGTTTAATAAAAAAATTTAAAAAAAGAAAATTTAAAATACCAACAAAAATGTCACGAGGGATATCAACACAAAAATACCTTGGCGAGGGGAGCAAGGCAATTGGTAGTGCAGCTAGCATTGAAAACAATGTGAAGGTCTGGTTTGTATTCCTTCTTGTTAACACCAACAACAAACATGGGTGCATCCTTGCTAGGGGCAGAAATGACAACCTTCTTGGCACCACCCTAATCACAACCAAACAATTTATACCCATAATAAATTATTGAATAACCTTTATTCATACACATCTAATTAAGTTTTAACTTCCTTTTTTATAAATTAAGTAGTCAATCAACCTAATGAAGATACACCCTTTGGCGTGCTTGATAGCAGCAATGTATAAATAACAATCAATGACATATAACTAGAAAGAAAAATCATCATCATGAGAGAATGAATGTACATGATGAATGGCTAATTCCCCTTGCCATGACAATGAACATAATGACAGGGGTGCCTCCAGCCCTGGAACAAAGCGAAAAAATGAAATAATTTTATTTTATTTCATTGTTAGGGCGAAGACCATAGAATAAAAGCGAGATAAAATTAAGTTTGATTTCAGAGTGTTACCAACACTACATGACCATCTTGCTTTGCCCTGTACAACACCCAAAACCAGGCAAAAAATAAAAAATAAAATAAAATTATAAAATTACAAAATAGTAAAATGGATGAAATTGGGGTGTAGAATAGAAATGGAATCAAACCACATGAAAGAACACAAGCCCTAGTCGGTGAGAGCGTGCCAGTGCTTTGGGTGATGAATGATTAAACCTTTGTCGATTGTGCCCTCACCATGTCCATGCCATCCACCCATCTCTCGAGAGATCACTCAAAACTGAAAATTAGAATCACACATTGAGCAGTAAATCGTTTTATAATTAATTGTGATTATAACACTGGTGAAAACACTCGAACGATGGTGAGAAGATTAAATATAATCGGTTCAAATAACATTGATCTGATAAAAAATAATAAAACCATAAATTAAACAACAAAACAAAGGAAATCAGATAACGGAGAACTCACGCAAATTAAGAATTGAAATCAGCGACGGTGAGAAGAACAAGGACCAAGTTGGAGCAATTTTGAATTTGAAACATGAACTTGAAAAACTTGAATCTGAGAAAAGAAGAGATGTAAAATTCAAAAGCCAAGTAGTAAACATAATGAGAAATTGAAGCTGACTAAGTTACCATAATCGATCCAATGACTATAGGTTTTAGAAGCATATGAGAATGAAGCTCTCTGTCAAGAGAGAAATATGATACGTAATGCTTAGGTGTGAATAAGGGGAGGAGATGTTGTAGCGGCTCAGTGTTGAGTTAGTTCATTTATTATAATTTAAAACTAGATGTTGTAAATCTAGTTTACAACAATATTTTTTTTTCTAAAGTTGAGGTATAATTTTTTTTAAAACTCTTTGTTATGTTTCATAATATGTAGAAAGTAAATATATAAAAAATAGATTGTATATTCTTAAGTAATTTAAAATAGGAAAACATAGTATCAAATTGTGGAGGTTTAAAACCTGCCAAAAATTAAATCATTTGTTGGAGGTTATCTCCAATAATCACCCATTTTTTTGTAGGGTCAGGTTTTGGTATTCCTCTGTCATGATTAGTAATGTGTTTCATTATTATTTTTACCACAGTTTATAGAGTTGACGATAAACATATATGTGCTCACATCTTCAATATGAAATTAAACTAAATAAGCTTACCACATACATTCTTTGTCGGTCTTCTTCTTTTGTATATTGTTTAGATTATAATGAGCATAAAATCCTAATATTCTTCGTGTTTGGCAATGATACATATTAAAAATCCTAATAATCCGGTGGCAAGCTATATCAAATATGTGTGTGTGTGTAGAGTTTAGTGTGTGTCTTTTTAAAGGATGTAAGTTGTGTTCTTTTAGTTTTGTACTCTATGTACTCCCGATAGTACATAGTTATAACATGGAAAAAAATTCATTTTTCACTTCAGCCGATGTGACTGAAGAGATTAAAAAAAAAACTATTCATGTTGTAACTATATATTACCGGGGAGTACATAGAGTAAAAAAATTAAAGGATACAACTTACATCCTTTTAAAGCACAAATAATTTTTCCATATATATATATATATATATATATATAATGCGTGAAAGATTATTATAGCTTTAGATTTGTTAAGAGATGTTGCTTAGAAATTTTGAATATTTGTTAAAAATTATATTAGGTTTTACTGATTGAGAAAATTATTATTTTTTATTAATATCATTACATTTCTTTGTTAACTTTTTTATTGACTCTTGTAATTTTGAATTTTGTTAAAAATTCATATAAATTTTTAAAATCATATAAATTCATATTGTCCTTTCAAATCTTATAAATTCTATTAAAAATCATTTAAAATTCAATCTTATGAAATCTTGATTGTAAAAAAGTATTTAAAGTCTCTCAAATTCTAAATAGTCTTTTAAAATCTATAAACAAATTTATCTTAAAAAAATATTTTAAAATCTATAAAAAAATGTATCTTAAAAAAATCTTTTAAAATCCTAATCAAATATACCCCTTAACCATTCCTAGTGTCACCTGAAGGGTGAGAGATTTGATTCAACTCAAAAATTTATAAACATTAGTGAGCACCAACATTATAGTAGAGAAAGAATCTTAAACATTCTCAGTGTCACATGAAGGGTGAGAGATTTGAGTCAACTCAAAAATTTATAAACATTAGTGAGGACCAACATTATAGTGGAGAAAGAATCTTAAACATGCTTCTCACCAGAATAGTATCATAAGCACTTCGTTCATATCATCTATACTTAATGATTGTTTCACGTGTTTTATTTTTAGTTTTTTCTTCTTTTAAAAGTAGAAATTTAACCAAATATAATTTATAAAATTTCCTATTATAAAAAAAAGTTTGTTTATAATGAATAAAAAAGTTAAAAGCTAAAAAAAAATTAAAATATATGCCAGCTTTTTGAAATCCTCATATTTATTTTATAATTTTACCTCTATGTTAAATTAACTTGTATTTATAAATTTTTCATTTATCATAATAACAATTTATTTCATCTATCCTTCTTCAAAACCATCAAAATAACTTTAAATAACACCAAATAGCTTTTAACTTTATTTTTTAAATTATTTTATTTTTTAAATTTTTTAAAAATAGCTTTTAGCTTAAAAAAAAATGTGCCAAAGTAATTATTGAGACATAAATAAATGAGCTTTCTAATTATTAACTTAATTTCAATAATTATTATTTTTAATGATTAGCAATTAATTAATTATTAATATAATAATTAATAATTTTAATCATGTATTAATTAATAATATAAATTATTTACTAATTATTTATTTATTTAGTATTTAAAAGGAATGAGTAATTAAACGTGGGATGTAAGTATTTTACAAAAAATAAAATAAAAAAATGAACGAGCCAGATTACATCACATGGCGCAATATTCTGCCCTACGTGATTTCCATCTCTTTGGTAAAAAAAATTCACCAAATTTAAGAATTGGAAAATTTTGAATGAAAAGACTCCTAATTGATCAATGAACCTGACTTTCCTTGGACAACAAAAGAAAAATGGTTGCATAGTCCCATGGTGGCGGTTGAAATGGTGAAATATTTGTTTACCAAAAAAAAAAAAAAATGGTAAAATATTGAGACATAAATAAATGAGCTTTTCACTACTTTTTCAACCCTTTTTTCTTCAGGAGAGTGATCATTTTGTCACGTTTGGACAAAAAAATTATCAGACTGTCAGTGTAGCGAATTTTGCAAAATTTGACATGTGGCATTTTTGGTTCTGACGTGGCATATTTCGTTACACTGTGTAGCGAATTACTTGCATACATAATTCGCTACATTGTGTAGCGAATTATGCTGCGTGACATTTTGACAAAATTTATTGTTGACGTAGCAGTCTAGTAAATTTTTTGTCTAAACGTGACACTTTGGTCAGTGTTCCTTTTTCCTGCCCTCCGCTTAGAGGTTAGTCAGGTTACCCAAGGACTCACTAAGATGTCTCTCTCAATCAATTCGCATAAGAAGGGATCTAATCTAGGTACTTGAAAAAAAAAATGGTCGAATGGGTACTAAAGTTGAAAGAAACATTGTTCAAAGATACTTATACGACTTTGTCTTTAATTTGTTCATGATATGAAATGACATATTATTGTCTTTAATTCGTATCCAATGTGTTTTCTAACTTCTAAGAAGAGATGGACTAATATATTGTTTAAGCTCTCCGGCGATGAAAAATCATTTTATTATGAAAACCAGTCATAAGAAGTGATGATTATGACCTATGATGCACGGACACGGACACGGGATACAACACACCGACACGTTAAATCTAAAAAATATTATATTTGGACACGTTTTGATATTAAATAAATTTTATAATATATATAATATAATTTATATTTAATACATATAAAAGTCCATAATAAGTTCTGAGCGTTGACTTATGTGTCAAAATAGTTGATCGCGTCTCAAAAAAATGTGTCAAAATATGTCAAAGAATTAACTGCGTCCTCAAATGTTGACTATGTGTCGGACAGATTTTTTTTTCAAGCACGTGTACGTGCTTTGAAAATTATGACTAATAGCTCGAGGACTGAGAAGTTGAATATAGAACATTGCTGAATGCAGAATATATATATATATATATATATATATATATATATATATATATATATATAGAGAGAGATCATTTGACTCAAGAGTAAGACTATAAGTCTTACTCTCCATCCTAACCGTTGATTTCCGTTCATCCAACGGTTATAATTTAGGAAGTTATATATAGGGGAATTATAACTTCCTAAATTATAACCGTTGGATGAACGGAAATCAACGGTTAGGATGGAGAGTAAGACTTATAAGTCTTACTCTTGAGTCAAATGATCTCTCTCCATATATATATATATATATATATATATATATATATATATATATATATATATATATATAAACAATCAAAACCAACCTTTGGAGAATCCAAGAGAATCATTGATATCATATCGGATCAATATAATTAGATTCATCGTAGCATCTTTGCTCATAGCTTTCGTGTATATCCTGTCATTATATACGTCATGAAATTTGACCATTGTAAGACAAATTTATAGACAGTTTTGGACTTTCTACTTTTGCAGTATCCATGACTATTCACCTAATATTATCCATATCCACCATTTGGTATAGCAGAATTTTTTTTTAATCCGGAAAATAATTATTACTAAAATATAATGAGAAATATATTTTATTGAAAAATTACTAAAAAGTTGTTTGATAGGATCAAATTTACCAGGAAAATTATGAATAAATTTAAATGTGTGTTTGGTTGGTTGTAATATATTTATGAGAATTAGGGGTGTAAATGAGTCAGGCTAACCCAGCCCGACCTACATTGAGCCTGGCCTAGCCCGACCTTTTAGAGAATGTAGAGTAGGCTTAGGCTTATAAGAAAGCTTTTTAACAAATAGGTCATAGGCCAATTTTGTCAAGCCTGGCTTAAAGCCTTGTAGGCTGGCCTATTTAATTTATTAAAATAAAATAAAATAAAAATATTTTATATGGCAAAGTACCAATATCAACCCTTGGGGTATTATGTTGACTTTATCTTGTTTGTCATTTTTTTCTTATGAGAAGTACTAGTGCATGTATGAATGGAACTTTCTTTGCTCTATACAATTATTTTCGTTGCTTAGTATCTGCAGTGGGAGGCCTACAAAGCTGTAGGCCATGTCAGGCTTTCTTATTTTTAAAAATAGGCCGAACTTGACTAGAAATAAAGCCTTTAATAGGC